AGAGAGAAAGAGAGAAAGGCCGAAAATGAGCCAGAGAGGTGTTTTTCCACTCATCTGTCAACCGATCAGATTAAAAGTAATAAATGTTATTCGAGATTTTAAAAAAAATGCTTTACAAACAAAACTAAAACAACCAAACGAAACAAAATAAAAACTGTTCCGACCGACGTGTCCCCAGCCTGTGACGAAACAAAGCGAGTGGTCAAAATCCGAATCTCGTGTGCTAAGACAGGCTATGGTCACGGCATCGGTCAGTTTGACCGGACTGGACAGCTTTATCATCGCGATGTCGTTTCTCGGGTCTGCTGTCGGCGAACTGAAACCCGTGAACCCGGGATGGACGACCACCGCCTCCACGGTTTTTTGCTGGACAGTGACGCAAGAGGGTGAGATAAGGTGAGATAATCAGGTGAGATAATCAGCATGTGAGATAATCAGCATGTGAGATAATTGGGTGAGATGGGTCAGGTGAGATAATCAGCATGTGAGATAATCATGTCAGATAATTATGTGAGATAATCAACATGTGAGATAATCAGGTGAGATGGTCAGGTGAGATAATCAGGTGTGATAATCAGGTGTGATAATCAGGTAAGATAGTCAGATGAGATAATCACGTGAGATAATCAGCATGTGATAATCAGGTGAGATAATCAGGGGAGAAAATCAGATGATAATGATATAACGTGAGGTGAGATCAGGAGATAGTAAGGATTATTTGAGATGATAGGGTTAGATAAGGTGAGATAATCAGGTGCTATAAAGCGAGATTAGGTGAGATAAAGTGAGATAAGGTAAGACAAACAAATGCAATAAGCTACGTTACGGTGAGATAATCAGGTGAGATGAAGAGAAATGATCACATGAAATAAAGTCAGTGGTAAGATAATGAGGTGATACAATAAGGTAGATAATAAGGTGATAAAAAAGTGAGATGAGCAGGTGAGGTGAGGTGAGGTGAGGTGAGGCTTAAACCTGTCATTTGGGACCAGGTAAAGTCAGGTAAGTTGATAAAGAGGTGTGAAGTCAGGTGAAACTGAATGTGAGGTAAACTGCGTAAGGTAAAGTGAGGTGAGGAAAGCGGACTGACAGCAGTGTCAAGAGCCCCTCAATAGGCTAAGGCCTGTACATGTATGTTGTTGTGGGGTCGGTGGTTTAGTGTTTAGGCTCTCAAACTTTCAACCGTTAGGTTGTGAATTCGAATTCAGTCAGTGGCCCTATGTTGTGTCCTTAGGAAAAGCACTTTACGCGAATTTCCCCCACTTCACCCTGGTGGGAATGGGTGCCCGGCTGTTTACCGTGAAAGACTTTGTCAATTTTTGGGTTTTTTTGTGGGTGGTTGGCGGGTGCTCTGGTGTGGTTTGCTTCTTCTTTCCTGTCAAACGTCTATCGTCCTTATCTCCCCTTCTTCTTTTTTTATGTTTGTTACTCTCTTGTAACAGCTCTATTCTTCTGGTGCTCATATGACCTTATGTAGTTGCGAGCACCGTAAAACTTCTACTAAAACTAAAAACTTGTTTTTTTGTGTGTGTGTGTCATTCGCAGCTGGCACTACTGTATGCTCTCCATCCGGGAAGCTTTGAATGTGTGTGAGTGATCTAGGGTCCACTGGGGGTAATAATAGATGTAAAATGCAAAAAGCGTACTGTAGAGTGTGGATATGTGCTCTATAAATTAATGCTGTCCTCCTCCTCCTACGCCTCCTCCATCAAGTCACTTCTCCTCCTCCTCCTCCTCCTCCTCCTC